TTCACGGATTAACTTGAAACCTATACCAATATTTTATGAGTTATTTGCGAGTTCATTTTCAAAATTTGCGAGTTCACCCCTTTCCCGCAAATTCCATTTTCCTACCGTGAAGTTAGCCCACCCAAGTCGCCCTAGAATTTCATAATTGATACCAAACGATGCGTTTTTATTTGCGAGAATTTGAGAGTCTATTTTCAAAATTTGTGAGTTCACCCCTTATCCGCAAATTCCATTTTTCTACCGTGACGTCAGTACACTTAACACGCCCTAGAATTTCAATGGCCCGTTTTCAAAGGAAACAAAGTAATAACCGGTTGTAGATAAGATCTTTTATCACCACAGCTAGGGTTGCAAAAAAATTAGTTTTTTTAAAAAAACACATAAAATACGTTTTATTTGTTTAAAACAATGATTTTTATGTTTTAAACAGTTTTAATTGTTATTTTATTAGTAAGTTTTAAACATTGTTTAAAAATTTTTTTTTTATTTAAAACTAAGTTTATAAAAATATTTTCCCTAAATGAGATTATTACTCTCAGATTTTTAACCAGAGTACAGTACAGGTGAAAGGTGAATTTATATAGATGCTATGATTTTTGAATAGTTCTAAAAAATTACCAAAAACCATTGTTTCTACCTGTTATTTTACTTTTTTAATAACATTTATAAAATAAAATAATAATATCCTTTATTTATATAGAGAATAAATTATCATACTATTTTAAATATGTTTGAAGGGTCATTTTCACATTTCCCATTGTTATTATATTATAAATTTACCTACCTAAAAATTATGATTTACGACTTACGAGTATGTAACTTATGATTTATTAGTTGTAGGCACGTCTTTCAATTATAATTATGGTCTATAGCAACACAATAGAACATTCCAGAAGACTCATGGGTTTTTCAATTAAAGACACTTTATAATACAATGATTTGATATAATTTTAAATTTGTTATCCAAATAAAGAGTTATACTTAAAATATAATATTCTCCATTAATAAATTGGTGTAATTATATATTTTGTTGATCAATTAAATTGAAAATCCTTAAACCACAAAATATAATGATAATTATATTTTTCAGAAAGAACTGACAAGCAAAATGAACCATTGGCATACAAGTTATTAGTTATTACATACATACATTAGTTATTCTAACACACTTCTGCAATTTATTAAGGTTATATAATATGAATATCTGAAACCAATTATTTTTTCAGAAATCATTGACTCCAGGGTGTCAGAACTTCCCTCGAAAATCCTTGTGAATTATAAATTATCATTTGACAAACATTTTAAAGTATCACAACAATATAGGTGGGCTATGTATAAAAAAGGAAAATAAGATTCATACATAAGAAATAGATAATTTTAATTTGATCACAATTTTAGAACTAAAATTATATTCTTCCCAGTGGCGGATCGTGGGGTTTTAATGAAGTAGAGCACATCCGAAAAAATTATAACAAGTATTATATATATAACGTTAAGACGTTAAACGTTTTTTGTTTTTTGTTTTTTTTTTTTACGTAGGTGGTCGATAGTAAATAGAAACACGATTATTGTTTTGAATTTAAGATAATGACTAACATTATTAGTCAATAATCAGAATATAATAAACAAATGAAAGTAAAAATAAATCATAATGTGTTTCCGACGTGGCGACGTCGAAAATAATTCGCTAAAAACATTTTAATTGGTTATGTGCACAGAAATGAATGTGCACATCAATTCCATTATAACGCGTGTTGTGTGTTTTAACTTGTTTTAATTTTTACATTGTACAAATGTGCACAGCAATAGTGTACACTACTACACCGCTATAACACACACACACCAGTGCACTGGTTAGGGACGGTTAGGCACGGAAAAAAATATAAACTAAATATTTTTAGTTGGCAAAGATATAGTTGAAGTAACTACATTTTAGTTAGATTAACTGAAACGTACCTAAATGGTATAGTTAACAGAACCAGAATAATAAAGTTGAACAATAAAATTGTTCTACTGATAAATTTAGTTGAAGCAACTATTATTAAATGGTTGTTTTAAATGTCAACTAAATTGTTTACTTGTTTCTACTAAATTTTTAGGTATAAATTGGTATGTAGATAATTTTGCTATTTTTAAATCACGAATATCAGTATTTTTAATTTATGTGGGTTTTCCTATCTTTTTGTTTACTTGTTTATCAACCGACGCCGTATATTTCGTTCCCCGGTTCCCTGCACCCGCAGTCAAACACTCCGCAGTCCGCATTCGTAACAGCCAAATTTAATAAAATATATTATTTTTGTCAGTTTGTCTTGCACTCTTACGTGCTTGTGAAGTTATTTTAATAGACAATGGACGTCTTTATGAAAAAATATTTTGGCCGAATGGGGATTTGAAGATTTTATTGGAAAATTTAACGGTAAGTTAGTACTTTTTATATTTATTTCGTTAATAGTAATGAAATAACGTAGTTAGGGTGCTCATAGTATAATATGGAATATAACTTAAACTAAGTTTTTATTGTATATTAGTTTCTTTTTTTATAGTAACATTATTTAATTTTATTTGTATATTATTATATTATATGGTTTGAGCCCTTAAATTATATAAATTAATTATCATTTAAAGGTAAAATTGTCTTTTTAATCGACTTTTAGCCTTATAACTAGCTGGTTTTCTGAGTAATTATAGTAGTGGCATGTGGCAGTGGCGTAAAAATACTTTTAAGTAGATAGTGCAAACATACATTTTAACCTCTCATTTCACCTCTACCTACATCCATAAAAATATTATTTGCATTTAGGTTCATTGTTTCTACTTGGCCATCAACGATTAAAGTATTATCATGTTCTTATTGAGTAGGTATCTACTACCTAGTGGCTACTAAGTGTCAATTTTTCAAAATTATAAAGACTCAGTACCCACCATCCAATTTTACCTGAAGTACTTAGTCGGCAAAACTGGCATGTGGGATATTAAAAGAAGAGAGAGGTAGATCGTGTTGAGCTTTGTGATTATCACTATATGAGTATTGTAGCATTTTATAAAATCTGTGATTGTAGCCTGTAGGTAAATATTTAATATATTCATACAATCTATTATTATCTTGTTATGTATTATTGATTAATTATTTTATAACCTTCTTACAAACGTTAACAATATACTTAGCATTTGTACTCTATGATTTGTGGTCTAAGACCTTAACTTACACTATAACCTTTGAAAAACAAAAATTAAATTAAACGTGTTTCTTAAAAGTCCTTTTGATATCATATTAGAGACCTACTATACAAGACTGGAACAATTATTTGTTAATGCATTATAATTTATATTTCTTAGTTTTAAATACCTATCTATATATTTTAGACGAAGAAATTGGGCATGAGCAATTTATGACATTAACAGAGTCTATGATTCAAGAGCTTATACCTAAAGTTGGTAGACGATCTACTTTCCTTAATAAATTTATTAATTTAAAAAAAAAAATCAAGTGAGTAAAACAATACCTAAGTACATAGAATTGAATATCTATTTGTAAGTACTTACACAAAGTATGTTTAAATTGTATTATAAAGGATAGGTATGTCTATAGGTATTATTGGGTAGGCAGTAAAAATTAATTATTCTTACATTAGGTATATATTTAATATTATAAAATGTTGTTTAATATTTTTCTGTTGCATTTATTTAAATATTTTTCATCCCTACAGAAAGTTAACAATGATGTACACTGTCAAAATATCTTATTATTGATAATCCTGGAACGTCATGTATTTATACTTTTTAATAATTGGCCAAAAATTATGTGCTTAGGTACCTCTAAACAATTTAATTCGATTTTCATAATATTAGTTTCAGAAGACACTATTTCAGATGATGTAGGGTGTATTAATATTCAGAATTTACCATTTGAAATGGATGATGACACTTCAGTTGTAATACCATCTTTAATTATGTATGAATCCAATACAATAATTAATGGTATGATCCAACTAGTGCTAAATATACATTTTTATAAGTTTAAAGTTCAATGAACATTGACTACTAAATTAAAATTACCATTAATATTTACAAAATAATTTTAGAAAGTATTCCTGCCTCAAGTTGATCGTTAAAAATGATAACTGTTATTGATCCCGAAAAGGTATAAATATTTTTACCTTGTATTCTAATAAAAATCAAAGAACTAAGTTAAAAAAAAATTTCTAAGGAAACATTGTAAAGGACATTTTGAAAAAATACCAAGATGGTTTATTGATTTTAAAATTGTATACCACAAAAGGCATTTTAAATAATGCTTCCAGGAATTCTCTTGCATCAATATTAATCAAATATAAATTACAAATAGAACTAAATCACCAAATTACTAAATCTAAGTTTTTACTGTCAGCAGAAGGTAAACAATTAAAATAGTATCTCTTTGAAAATAATTTTAATTCTAAAATCATACATTCCATGTTAAGGAATAGAAATGGTTTTCCTTATTGAATCCAAGGACACATATTACACACCATATTGTAGAACTTCTAGTAGGTACTATTACCAATTGTTTTTATAATAGTTCTTTAAATCGATTTACCTAAAACTGTTAACAGTTCGGAAAAAAAATTAATTATTGTTAATAGATTATGAAGATAGAATTCAATGGTTAAAAAATAATGTTGAGCCTGAACACATTTTATTCAAATATTGGCAAGAAACTTCTAATTTTAGAATTAAGAAAGCATTTTTAGAAACGCATAAGTATCCTGCTTTAAAAAAACCTACAGGCTATATATTGGTAATTAAGTTGTAATATTACACCTTTGAAGATTTGCATAATAGTTTGGAAATTTAAAGAAAATATTTCATTGCTCTAACATCATATTTTTTATTTGTATAATACATTATTTCTGCATTTTATTTAACCTAATAGTGTCATTAACTATTTTTTGGTGTAGTCTTTAATTAATATATTTTATTTATTATACAGATTTAAATTGATTTTGAAAAATTTTACCCAGATAAGAAAATATTGTTATTTACTAAGTTTGATGGGTTTATAATTAAATTATCACAATTTATTGAAAAACACAATATCAAATTTGGTGTACAAGAGACTTTAGCACTACAAGAACTTAGAACTCTTTCAAAGTCTGGTAAACTATTTAACATTATGTCATAGGTTTATTGTATATTATAACTAATAAGAATAATTAGTTATAATTGTTTTTAATATCTACCTAGGTAATGATACCATTGCAGCCTTGAGATTGATACCATTTTTATTTCAACCAGTTACATTTAAATTGCATAAAAAGAAAAAATTGTGGTACACCTTCAACTTGGCGTCCATCTAAAGTAGAACAAGCTTCAGCTTTTATAAAGTTTATTGCTGTAAGTCTTATTTCTATATTGTCATAATAAAAATATTATTATTGAATTTTTGATAGTAATTTAATACACATGTGACATTTTGATTAAACTAATAGTAACTAAAATTATTATTTTTTTACTCATTATAGGATGCAAATGAACTTAAGACTAGCCACACTCATAAAGTAGACAAATCTGTTCAATTTGGAACTACCTTACAACCGTATGTAATTATTGTTGGACATATTGTAGATACATTCCAAGAAGACAATTCCAATCATACACCTATTGAATCGTACACAGTCATAACCAATACATATTATAAATTGGAGACTCCCTTAAAGGCTTTAGACATTTGCTTTAAATCGTATTATTCATTAAATTTACAATATCCCATCGAAAAGTACAGCATGTTTAGATTTTTATACAACAGTATTTTTTTGAAATTCATGACAAAAATGACAAAAATTTCCCTTCAGTCAAAAGTTTAATTAATGACTTAAATCATTTTTAAATAATTAATTCATTTTATAATAAGTTTAATGTTTAATAAATTAATTTAAAGAAAAATTACTTATAAAAATGTTTTCTTAATATTTTAGTTATTAATTTTTATTATTTATTTATTATTTATTTATCAAAAGATACTACAACAGTAAGGACCTAACTGTATTTTTTGTATTTTTTATAAAGTCTTTATTATAAGTTAACACCTACTATAAATTACCATATGGTGTTTTGTTTTCTATGTAAAAAGTCTTTTAAATGAAATAACCATCTTTTTGATAATTTAAACATTTTTCACAATATAGAGTCAATATTTAATGTGTCATTAAATATTTATTTAATTTATTTATTTATTTTTATTTTATTTTTATTTATTTTATTTTATTTAATTTATTCTTTTAATGTGTCATTAAGTAATCAGTTACTATGTCATTCACTTGAAAATGTTGCTAGTATAAATCCTACGGTGTGTTGTAAGTCCCCCAATGGTTTGTGTCATATACCCATAAAATATTAGGTTTTATATTACATAATATACTTTTTTGTTTTCTTTTGTGAATATTAAACATATTCTTACTATGTATTTATTTATGTTGTTCTTTACATTTTATATATAAATATAATATTTTTGTATTTTATATTTACCTATTCATTTTAATAAACATAATGTCTATCATATCATGTCTTCTTTCATTATTTATAATTTTCATGGAGGGGCGGGTTAAACCTTATGATCCCTCCCCTGTGAGTATGCCAATCCTACTTTACAATTTTAAGTGTAATAGAGTTAATACTAAAAGGCACATTTTTTTCTTTTTTTTTTTTGGGGTAGGGGAATAAATAAATGCAATGGGCTATCAATTAAAATGGATAGTTAATCCAACTTAACTATGCAGTTGTGAAAAAAAGTTTTTTAACTAAATAATTATGGTTGATTTAATTAGACAGTATAGTTGAACCAACTAAACTGTTTACCTATATACGTTTAGTAACCACAACTTATTGTCCAGTTATGCCATATATAACTGTCATTTTTAGTTCAAGTAATTGTAAATTTAGTAATACCAACCAATATTTTTTTTCCGTGTAGCGTAATTGAGAATGTTTCATAGGGGGGGGGGGGATCAAAATAAATTTGTATGGCAAACTTGTGGGGGCAATGCATGTGAAATTTAGTATCACAATTTAGTCTGATATTTTTTAATACAATGATAATATCTTCAGCAAGGCTTACTGCTTCTCTTAAATCAATTTTTTCTTTTTATAGCAACTTACACAATGGTAATTCAAAAGAAAAAACCAATTAGAAAAATATTTTATTATAAAATAAAATTAATTATATTTATTAATTATTATTTACTTGTATAACTTATAAGGATACAAAAAATCAAAATCTAAATATTATATTATTTTCATACTATTCTGAATTTATATTTTGAAAAATAATCTTAATAACACTACAGGTATTTAGTTGTATTATTATGGTTTGTTTTCAATTTTTTTGAATTTGGGTAGGTAGTGCATGTGCACACGAACTGCCACTGATTCTTTCATAAAAATGAATTAGCAGATGAAATAATTTTTTAAGATTCCATAATAATAATTTAATTCCATAATCTGAAAATTATAATATTGGAAATAATTTGAATAAAATTAAAAATGTTAAACAATTTTTTGAAGTTCTAGGGCGACTTGGAGAGGCTACGTGAAAGTTGATCCACCCTTTTGTTTTTTAATTATAATTCGCAAACGGCTTACTCGCAAATTTTGAAAATGAACTCGCAAATTCTCGTAAATAACTCTCAAAATATTGGTATAGGTTTCAAGTTAAACCGTGAAAAAGGGTGGGCCAACTTCACGTACGTGAAATAATAAAATGGAGGTACAATAATTAAGGCTCGGAAGTTATAGGAGTTGCATATTGTTCTGTATGCAAACGATTTATAGCACACCAAACTAGAAATCTGAGCTATACAATATTGAGTTTAAAAATTGAAAATTGAAAATGCATATTTTGTATAATGCGTTGATTTTAGAGAAAAAGTACATATTTCGACGATTTTCATTGATTTTCCTATATTTGTATGCATATTTAATGTTTCCTAAAAAAATTAATTTTTTTTCATTCTTAACCGATTTATTTTAAATAATGTTACATAACACAACGCTAATAACGCGGAAAACGTGCATCAAATAAAACTCAATATTATTTTTCCTGGTAATTTATTGTTATTTTTTAATGTCTACTATGAATTTAACAAAAATATTGATGGTTCAATGCAATAATTTAACAGGTATAACAGGTATAATATATTATATAACATATATTTATCTCGTATTTCACAAATAATGAAAATATATTTGTTCGATTATTTTTTCAATAAAATCTCAAATGCCAATGGATTATGCGCCATATTTTAGTTTTCAGTAATACAGTTTTTTTTAATTGTAGGTTTTTAAAATTTATTAATTAACTTTTAATAAACAATTAAATATTTTTTTTTGCATATTTCACATTTTTTCATGCATATTTTATCATTTTTTCGTTCATATTTGCATGCATTTTTGCCTTTTTTAGCTCCTATAACTTCCGAACTCTAATAATAATATTCATTACAATACGACAACTACGAATGTAATTGGCGAGATAAAATGGGACAAATCTTAAGTTATCGGCATAATGGTCGACAAGAAACAATAACTAGTGAACTAGTGTGAAATCAGTAAAAATGAATAATAATGTCAAAAAATGACTTAAAAAGTAATAAACACCAAAAAATGCAAGATAAAAATTATTTGTACGGATTCACATACTAATGAAACACATTTGTGGCCAGTAGAGCATTGTCTAAAAAGTTAAAAAAAAAAAAAATGCAAAATACATTAACTTTCGATCCCTAGTAATGAGTATTTAAATATAAATTAACATGAACACATGTGGGGGTGCTAATTTGAAAAATGGAGGTGCTAAGTATACCCAAGACCCCCTAAATTGCGACTATGATACTAGTACAATAATTTATAGTACTAATTATTAGTATCAAAGTTTTTAACAATTAAATCTACAAAATGTAAAAATGTTTAATAACAATAATTAAAATTACGTATAATTATTATTTACAAGATAAAATACTTACCAGAGGCACAATATGTTTCACAATTAATATTTAAATTATTTTCTATTATTTCATTTATTAAGGTTTCTGATGTTAATAATTTTTTCGTTACATACCTAATTGTCAAGAGAACCTTTTCAATTTTCAATTTTTTTTTCTTTTTTTAGCTTTAATTCGCAGTTTTTTGACACCCCCCCCCCATACTTTTTCTTTTTAATCCAAATGTATCTTGTACTTGATAAAAGCGTGAAATAGCACTCACAAAGTTATTGCAGAAATATTCTTGTTTACGATGAAAATAACGTTAATAACTGACAAATAAATCATGCACTATACACGTACGAACATTAATCGCATTTTATTTGAATGTTATCATATAGTTCAATAAATAGAATAGACACTCAAACACTGATCGATTTGTTAACAATTTTAGTATTTATTGCCTCGGATTTTACCTAGAAACAGTAAAGGATGACGATGATTGTTGTCTAAAACTATAAATTATCTTTAATAGTTTTATTGTTTTTAACTTGATTAATAATTGTTGTTGGTAATATTAATAATTGTAGTTTATATGTCATACATTATTAAACGCTAATAATTTACGAAGTCAAAATTATAGTTAATATTTAATATTATACAATATTATGTCAACTTATATCATTCTTTTTAAATTTTATGATCTTATAAAAAAAAAATTTATTGTTGCATTGAAATAATAACAGTTTTAATATTCAAAAATATTACAAAACACCAAAAAATATGAGAGCCGCTCAAAATTGATGCTGGGTGACTAGTCACCCAGGTACACCCCTAAATCGGGCATTGGGTTTAATATGAATATAATTTTCTGACCCTGACCAAATCTCGGATGTAAGTTGTATGATACATGATTAATTTATTATAAACTACAAAGCTTGATTGGATTGTGCAAGTATTCCAAAAAACAATAAATAAACGTAATCATAACTTAAGAAAATGAAATAAAGTTCTTTAGAAGTAATGAAACAGATTATTTAAAATAAAAAATTATTTTAACTATTATATTGATTGAATTAAATGTTTTGTAATACAGTAGTCGCCGTTTATTGGACCCACTTTGGGACTTGGTCATTTGAGTCTATTAATCGAATGAGTCGATAAGACGAATGACCCCCTCCACAAAAAAATAAAAATACTTATTTACTTAAAAAATATTTATTGAGATTTCAGCATTGTTTTATGCTGTAATAAAATAAAGTATAAGTATTAAATAGAAAATATTTTGTTTGATTAAAAATAATGTAATAAAATACGGTAATAAAGTAACGAATTACATACATAGTAACATTTTCAATAAGAATCCATCCAAAGTTGATTAGATTTAACTAACCTAACCTTCCTCGGTCAACTTCATAATCACTTATATGCATTTATAGCATGATTCCTTGTACGTATTGGACGTATGTACAATATTATATTTATTTATCTAATTTAAAATGACCCATTAACCGGTGTGTGAGTCTAATAAGCGAATGAGTCAATTAACCGTGAGTCCAATAAGTGGCGATCACCGTACAAAAATAAAATATAATTGCATGCCCGGTTTAAACTGAACAATGGTTTTTTTGAATTTCCCATCGAAAATTGACATATTAATTTTTGTATGATTAAAAAGCTATCAACAAATATCTATGATAACTTTAGTTTGCATAAATGTTAAACTACAATTGCTATGACTTCCAACTATTAAAACGAGGAATTATGAATTTTATATCTATTTCATTTTGTGTGTTACAGAGTATTATTACGTTGAAATGGATCAGCGCATGGGCGTAGCTAAGATTTGAATCAGGGGAGGGCAAAAACATAAAGTGATTAGTGTTAAACTCGTAATTCAAATAATCTACAGATAGAAAATTGGATAACACATAAAACGTCAAAGTGATTACACGTGTAGATAACACTCGGTCCCACTAAACTATTTTTAGACTTGTCTTATTTAATTTTTGATTTTAATGTAAAACTTACACGTTTGGTATAAACAAATATAATTCAGTTTGAGGCGCAAGGGTGGGCAAGTGCCCCCCTCTGCCCCACCCTCGCTACATCCCATGGATCAGCGTATATAGCAGTAAATATAATATACAAATGAATGAGATTCAAACCCTACGAAACATCTTGAAGATTTCTATTACAATTAATAAAAAAAATATTTTTAGTTATACTAGTAAGAAATATCAATAAAGATGTTACATTTTTAAAACAAACATTACAGTGTATTGTAGAAATATTATTTCAAACAAAACTATAATCGCCATATTATGTACCAATTTTTTAAAGTATGACAAATAATATTTACTAATTCTCGGTTAAACAAATTATAACTTTTTAGTAATATAAATTAAAATTGCAGCTTTGGCATTTAATAAACAATAATAAAATAAAATCAATTTTCTTAAATCTATCTAAATAAATACATGTATACATGTTATCTAAATAAAGGTCTTACCTTTACATGTATGCTTGAGCATAATGGTAACTAAAAAGGGAAATTTGAATTACAATTAAGTCAGTCACATGAAGTCATATAAAAAATAAATGTCGTTGAAAATTAAAAAAAAAAAATTGAATATGGCTTAAATAAAATTGAATTTATCAGTACTCTGTGGTTATTGATTAAAAAAAAAAGAAAAAAGATCATATAATTTATAATAAAAAAAATTGTATTTTTTATTTAGTTAAAATACCCACAGTTAATTTGGGGTTACAAATATCATCAGTACAAAATTATAATAATAGTCATACAATAAACAATATAGTAACACAGGGAACTGCGTGTTATAGTAATATTCGTACAAAAAACTGTTTATCAATAGCATTTAATTTATAAACTAATTACATAGGTTTAAAACACAAATGACAGTGATAAATTGTGATATTAGAACATGGTTTTATTAATTTTTAACAATAGAATAATTGTATATATACATTTTTTTGGCTTTACACATTTATAATTGCTAGAAAATTATATAAGTCACTGAAAACATACATTATGATAAAAAAAAATAATAATTATTATTAATATGATAACATTAACAACATAATAATTGAGCAGATATTATCATATAATAAATAAAAATCATGACATTTTCAATTTTTGTAAAAATATTTATAAGTTATACAATCTCATAAATGAATCATATACAATAAGTAAAGTATTTAAAAATGTTATTTTAAATTAAAAAAATCAATATGAATCAATACACATAATTTATAAAATTAATTTATTACACATACATAATACTAATATATTAAAACAGATATGTATACATTTTTTTTATATAATTTTGATTTTTTAGTAAAAAATGATATAATGATACAATATCTATAAAATATACAAAGCATATTAATTAATAGAAATATAAACGGACATTGAAGATAAATTTACACAAATTATACATCATAATAAATATTCAGCAACCTACAATAATTACAATCAAGTCGTATTTTGTAATAACATACTCTGTTTATTCATACATATAATAATGAACTATGATTTATAAAATATTTAAATTTGAAAACTAGGATAATATCAAACGGCAATATTCTATTTACAAAATATGAAAGAGTAATGAAAAAAAATTAGTTTTTCAATTAATATCTCAATGGAATAACAATGGTAATTATTGCATGAAGGTAATTAGAACACACATAGTAGTAAAAACTAAATATATAAATTATTATAAGAGTCAGAGAAAATATTTTTAGTTAATGATACCATATCTATTTTGTTTACCAACTTACCAGTCCCTGCTGACTGGTAATATTTTGAGGTTGGGAAATTTGTGGCAATTTTGGTGATGCTTTTTTCGATTCAAATTGCAACTTTAGAAATTTTTGATGAAACACTTCTGGTGATTCCGGCAGGTGGCTCTGATATTCATGGACCTGTTGATTTAATTCTTTAGCTAGCTGCTTATGTCGCTGTTGTTGACGGAAAACCTCGAGTATCACCTGTTGTTGACATTTAGATAATTTTTTCTCCTTTACATTATCGTATTCAGCAGAGTTGTCATTTAAAAAACTGCTGAGTCGGCTGACAGACGGTAAACCATTACCATCACATTCTTCAACAAAATTCCAAACGTCATTACCGATTTCATCATTTGTTTGACACCTAGCATCCAATTCCATGTCACAATTATTGAAGTAAGCATGAGTGGCGTTGTTTTTAACTGAAGCTTCTGCTGCAACCAAGATACTAGAGGCTCCTATCGTTCCAAATGGACGGCATTTCTGAAACGGAGGACGCAAAAGAGGTCGCCCACGTTCAATGAAAAATCCACGTGAAGTTTTAATATTTTTGACTACGTTGATTGAAGAATTAGACTCAGGTATTATAACATCCAACGTCTTAGTGCCAATATAAGAAGGTGTTTTTGACGTCTCAGTAATGATAAAAGATGATTTTTCTGTTTGAGATTGTTTTTTAGTCAACGGAGTTGTAACAAATTCCATTGGTTCTTTACTGTTTGATGTTAAGGTAATTGTTTTAGATTGTTGGTTGTTAACCACACTAGGATTCTTGATAGTTGCCATACGAGATTTTGGTAACAATCTTCTTGCAGTTTTCTGAACTACAATACCACTTGTTCTGGCAGAAGTTTCCGAAACTGTATGATCTGATGATGATGGTTGTACTTTTATTGCAGAAACGGTTTTTAAAGTTGGATATTGTTTGTTATTTGCAGTGGTAGTAGTGTTTATGAATTTAGTTTCAACTACCGTCTCGATTGTTAATATTTTAGGTTTATTTGTTTTGTCATCCATGATGATACATTGCTTACTGTTAAAACGTTTTTGATCTGGAATTATCCATTTTTCATCTTCATGTTCATTTACTGTAGTTACATTTTTTTGCTGTTTTTGTTGATTTACCAATAGTTTTTTGCTATCCTTACATAAATCAAATTTTGATGATGGATACAGCATAGTCTCCGTTGTCCGACAATATTCTGGAGTTGGCCGAATGTCTTCATCAGCCGCAATAGCCGCGTGGAATCCATCTCGCCGGCGCAATTCTAGTGTACCAATACCACGGCCAGTTTTTGACATTCGTTCCATCACCATAGCCCGGACGAAATCTTCACATGCGGATACCACCAGCTTGCACGCATCAGCCGTCACATCCATTGATGTAGATACAGTGGGACATGTAGTCCGTTTCACCTTCACCAATCGTATTTCTTCTTTTATGGTATTCATATTCATATTAGAATGGTCATTAACATTTTTAGTTTCATTTATTATAGCTGCAGTTTTAGGCGCTTCATTGTTGATTGTTTTTGTAACTGTCGCTGATGTAGATGTCATTAATGTCAAAATGTCATTAACTGTGGCGGTATTTTCTGTAGGTGTGATGGTAGTTATAACAGTAGACTTGGAACGTTTGATCGCCCCAGACCGACTTATACTTTTCACTGACGACTCTGGAGATGTTAACATGGGGGAAGTAGTTGTCACTAAAGATGAGAACGACATTTTTGTTGGAATGTCAGTGAATGGTGTATTTTTCGACGAAAGTGGCGATATTGACGAAAATGCCACGGATGCGGACCTTTTGATTGGTTGTATTGCTGATTGTTGTCCTTTTTTTTTATCGATAGTGGTTGTTGTCACGGTCGATTTTGATATTTTGTGTTGTCCAACAGCTGAAGGCAGTGATGACGTTGCTACTGTGTATGATGGTAATGTTATAAACGCTACCGAAGCGGATCTTTTGGGAGTCGGAAACTGTTCACTATCAGTTATCGAATTGGTGGTTACTATAGCCGACATAGATCTTTTAATTGGTGGTCGAGCAACAGTTGTCATCGATTTTTCATCTAAAGGCGTGACTTTAGTAACTGTTGGTCTTGATGGTCTTGTTGTGAATGCATTTGTCTGCCCCTCGGGTATCCTGGCTTTTCTGGCTGCGGACTTCAAAGCAGAATCCGAAATCCGAGCACAACCATTCTGAGGATTAATGTTTTTGGATGATTCAAATTTCTCTATCCGATCCATAACGATTGAAAATGGTATTGTTGTATTGGCAGATACAGAAGTTTTTTTACTGTTTATATTGTACTCTTCTATGTTATTACTATTTATAGGTTTAGGCACACTATAATTGGGGCTTGTTATGTTTTTGAATGACGGTAGTAATTTTTGGGATGGTATATACGATTCAATTGAAGATGCAGCTTCCATGGACAAGATTGTGGTCATGAACCGAGAGTGTACCACTTCTTCAACTGTGCCATTTATGAATCCATGATCACGAAATATAGGCATTGGCAGTCCAACAATATCGGTAATTATAGTACGAGCTATACATCGACCTTGGTTAAAATTACTATTAATTTTATAGGTGCCAACATTCTCCGGAGAACCATCCACTGTATAGTTATTTACTAATTTATTTCTTGAATCGTCCAATGTCGATATTTCCGAAGACTGAATCGAATTTATCTTTGAAGATTTCATACTCAATTCACTTGAAATACTTGACTCAAATACTTGTTCATCGATATCAGTTTTAGATGTGGATTTTGATGTCAAATTTTTAAGAATTATGTTTCTTTTTTCATCGCTTAAATATTCATTTTCGGGGATCTCATCATCAGAATCTATAATTTCAATGATATCGTTTTTATTATCGTTAATATTAGGTAATTTATTAATTTGAGTATGGTGCATAGATTGTACATTTTGAAATTGTTCACAATTAACTGAATTATGTGACATTATAGGTTTTTTCGTCGATATGGATTTAAGTCGTTTGCTATCATTTTTCTTATTTTCATCACGGAGTAGTCTTTTTTTTGGTAATTTTTTTATGTTGTTAAATTGGCCCATCGATTGTTTGTTAACACTTGAGATAGGATTACATGTAGTTACTGACAAATAATTCGAAGGATTTGGTGTTACTATTTGTCTTTCTTTCAATAACATCAACAATTTTTGTTTTAACGGTGATAGTTGTGAATTTAATGTCATTGAAGGAGTAGAACGTTTTTGTTTTGATGTAAATTGTTGGCAAGGTATCAACACCACTGAAACTGGTTCTTTGGATGTAAATGGTTTTGTTAGTGTCAATAAGGCTGAATAAGTTAATGACTCTTGTGTTGACATCAAAGAGTTTTGCAGTTTCAATGTAATATTATGGGAAGATAACTTTGGTACTGACGATATTTTCTGTGGTGTTGTACATGTAGACACTGATAATTTTTCTTTGGATGACCACGGATTCGCTAAAGTTAATCGCAATGTCTCAGATTTATTTTCAGACATCGATGGTTGCACTTTTAATAACATTGAATACGTTGAATGTTGCTCAGTCAACATATTTTCTCTGTATAATGCCATTAAATATTCATTAATCAATGTTTGTTTCCGTTGCCACCGCCATAAAAAATATTCACGAACCCGAAGAAATTGCTTCCATAAACCATAAGCCGCAGCACTTGGTGAAACAGATGTCAACCGTTTATTCCTTCGATTTTTATTTAAAGGTTGATAAACAAAAATTCGACTTGGATCATCTATCGCCTGTATCGCCTGTTTCAAACCATCGAATTGTTGATGCAACCAACGTTCAGGAAATCTAATTGAAAGTTGCCATAATTTCATCAATGGTTTCAGTTTATTATACGATATACCCAATTGTTGTTTCAGATTCTGCTCCATTTCCAAGATATCTGACTCACGTTTATTAGTTTCCAATGCCGCAACTATAGGATTTATTAAATTTTCAGATAACTGCGGTTGGTGTGGTTTTAATATCACTGATTTAATTGAAGGCAATTGTGATGTTAAATTTACTGAATTTATCGAAGGCTCATGGAACGAAGTTATAGATTGTTGTGATGCTAATGATTCATTTTCTTTTTTTTGATTGTGCACGTTTAAAGCATTTAGTTTATTTTGATAAATAGTTATTTGTTGATGTAACAGATACGTTAAATTTCGAAGGAAAAATTCAATATTTTGAAACTGTAATACTTTAGGTTGAGGGTCCATTGAATCAATTTTGATGACTCCTAATTGTTGTTGATGGCATATATGTTTACGTTTTAGCAACTCAATTTGAGACATTAGTTCCCGTAAGTAAGATAAATTAGTTAAATTCGCTTCTATTTTCGGTTTGAATGTTACTTGCTTTCGTATTCTTTGATGATTTTGTTTTGGTTGATTTTTTTGTTTCAATTGTGATTCTTGTTTATTTTTTGATTGAGTTTCTTTTTCCGTTTCTTCACGTATTTTAGGAGATAAAGGTCGCGTACTAGATTGTCGCGAGATACCTCTATGTTCGGTCGACTTCTGTAGCAATTTTTGTTGTTTGATCAGCTTACCTTTGATTTTTTTATTTCTTTGCTGCACTTTACACTGTTCTTGTGATGAGTATTTTTGTTTTGTAATATTTTTCGGTAATACTGGTTTCTCTATTATTTTTTGCGAAACTTTCTTTGGTTGCACAGTTTTTGAACAAAGCTGTTCCAACTTCAAATATAATTTTTGTTTATCAGCTATATTTAGTGGTTTTGATGGCATAAAAACCATAGCCATACTTACATACTGATTTTCAACACAACTACGTAAATATCTTTCTTCAAACAGATTATAAAGATGCCGATTAATTAAATTTTTCGTAAACTTCAAATCATGTAGTTTCAATAAATTCATTTTCCAATATCTTTGGTGCATTTGTCGATTAATATCTATTTGATGCCAGTTTGGATGCATGTCAATCTTCTCTTCCGTTCCGATCACCATTGATTTTAAAATGTGTCTATTTGAACCTTCGTTAGAGACGGATTTCTTACATGGTTCAAGCTCTAAATTAACAGGATGCGATGTATGAGATAGCTGTTTATCTTGCAATTTTTGATCCAATTCACCCATATATTTTCCTACCAATCCGGTTCGTTCTTTTTGTAATCTTACCATAGCATCCCAATGTAAATTTGTTTCTTCAGTGACTTTTTTTATACTGTTACATAGCAACATCAAACATCGCTGTTCATTTGCAGTCCAAAAACTTTGTGCAATGGGTTCTATTAATTTTTGCACTTCATCTTTTTCATTAACAGTTAATTTATTTCGTATAATTTTCTTGGTGATAACTTCTGCTGGATTTGTTTCTTTTTGTGGTATAGTTATTTGCCGTGTGTTGGAGATGGGCTTAGTTGAAGCATATGCAGAAGATTTCACTGGGGTTTCTTTGACTAACGTTGATATTTTCCTATAAATACCAACCTCAGTCCACCATAAAGTTGAGCCTCTATGCGTTTTCCAGGATCCATGATAAACTTCCTTCACAATATTTTCCGGAATTACAGATTTAGTTGTTACCTGAGAATCATCGTTTGTAGACGTAGGCTGTTGTTTTGCCTCTTTAAGCTGTTGTTCTGTCTCCTCAGGCTGTTGTTTTACTTCCTCAAGTTTACGTAGATACAGTTGAATTCTATCTAAAACCGCTTTGTTAAATAATTGTTCACGGAGAGGACGTAGAGGATTAAACCATTGTGATTGTGATACGAATTTACCTAGTTTCCATTCAGCAGGATCGTTTAATTTAATATTTCCGCAAACATTTTTTTGTTTACAATTTTGTTGTCGATCCAATAAAGGCAATTCTTGTTCTTGAAGTTCATGTCTTTTTTGCGTTTGCTGATACAGATTTTTCTTTTGTTTAAGTATTAATTTTTCTTGGTGTTCTAACTCTTTGAGTTGTTGAAGACAGTTGATTTTATGATTACACTGGTGTAACTGTTGTTTTACAGGAGATTGTTGTTTTGGTCTTTCTAACACGGGTGATTTCAACTGCATATTGATTTGCTTCGGTAATCTACGACTTTCAATGAGTTCATTTTTAAGACTGTCTTGTTTATGCAATCCATACTGTTGATTTTGTTGTTGTAATAATGGTAATGATTTTTGTTCAAATTCATTTTTACTAGAATGATATTGATCAATTAACTGCTGAATATGGCGCAATTGATATTCTTCGTCCAAGAAAACGATGTTTTCTTCATTTTGTTTATCTTCATACGCGGGCCATAAATCTTGCCATAGACACAGATTATCATCAGCAACTACTTTATTAATAAATTGATCTACAGTCACGTTAATTTGCTCATTATGAATTGCGGCCGCTGTAGATTGACGAATGTCTTCCTGAGACGGCCCATATTCGGATAATAAATGGCGCAAATTATCCAATATAATTTTTCCTTGTTCGTCAACAAATAATGGTTTCTGTAATTTTGTCGAAGAATTTTGTTTATTAAACTGAACAACCAATTTCTGCTGTAACTCAAGTAACTTATTAATGATTGATTTATATTTGGCATACAACGCTGATGATCGCAATACCTGTATAAATGGTAATATTTTATCATGCAACTGATCTTGTGGTAAATTCCCAATATATTGTAGGTACTCACTAATAAGTACATGAACATTATGATTAAATCTTGGAAAATTCAGTCTGTCAAGGGGACCTAGTTCTTCAATGTTTTTAATCTTATTTGATTTTGAAGACTCTATTTTCCTGTTTCTTGATGATTTTTTTATAGGATATTTCATACTTATGTTCTCATCAAATGCAACAGGTCTTTTATTCGACTGTGTCAATGGCGCTTTCCACTTGGCTGATTGAAATTCTTCAACTACTTCAAGTTCTGGCAATGGTAGTTGTTCATTGGTAGAAATGGTTTTATGTTTGTGTCTTTTTCGACCATCTCGTTTTGATCTAGTACGTGACTTATTTTTATAAGAGTCTTGATTTGGTTGTTCCTCCATTTCAGTTTGTTCAGGCTCCTTATTTAATCTTAGAGAAGTTATTTTTTCTGTATTTAAACATACTCCAATAGTTTTTCTCGGGTCCTTTTGGTTTTTAGTATCTGTTGCCCATGAACCTTTAATTTTTCTACTTTCTAGTAATTCTAGTGTACGTTCATCTTCTGACGGTGAATTTATTGCTTGTATCGATTCACTTTTTAACAATGAGCCTTTGGTTTTTCTCGGTTCATTTTTTGACAATGAACTTTTTATTTTTGTCGGATCATTTTGTATTTTTTGACTAGCAGACCATGAACCTATAGTTTTTCTACTTTCTAGCAATTTGAATGTCCGTTCATCTTCTGATGATAAATCTATTGTTCGTATTGGTTCACTTTTTAACGATGAGTCTTTAGTTTTTTTTGGTTCATTTTTTGACGATGAAACTTTTGTTTTTTTCAACTCTTTTTGTGTTTTTTGAGCGGGTGCCCGAGAACTTATAGTTTTTTCATTTGTTTGTAATTTTTGTGTCCGTTCATCTTCTGATGTCAAATCTATTGTTATTATCGGCTTCTGTTGTGACGGTGGTAAGTTTACTGGAGCGCTTTGTGTATCAGATCGTTTCTGATTATGATGAGGCTCACTTTTATCACTATATTGTTGCTGCTGCTTTTTTTCTTCATTTTGATGCAGCTGTTCATGTAATTCGATATCATCTCTTAACGGGATCGTTTTGTTTGATTTTTTTATTTTTTTGGTAGGTAATTTATTGATTACTGGACAGTTTGCTGAATCAGAAATCTTACATAAACTTTGACCGGGAAGCGAAGTAAGAAATGAATGTCCTCCCGCATTTAGAATGGCATCTTCAAATAACTTTCTTTGATTTCGTTCGCGTTCAATTTCCAATTTATGTACTGATGATTTAACACTGTGATGCATTAGAAACGGAGACGGTTCAAAAGAATGTAGTTCATCATTAGCTTGAGACCATCTTTTGTTTACTGGTATCGGTAATAACTGGTCTTGTCGAAGGTCATGTAATAGAGGTGATAACGGTCTGAAAGATGACGATTCTGAAATATCATCTGATGAATAACTACTACCACCGACATAAAGATAATGTGATGGTTGTTTTTCTTCAACATCTCTTCCTTGGCCCATATCATCTTGATACTTGACATTAGATACCTGATTCATATCATGCTTGTGGCATAGCTCTTTTAAGCATCCCTGTAACTTCATGTAACCATTCATCGATTGATGTTTTTTTACTTGAGCAGATGGTTTGAATTTATTAGTTTTTTTATCAGTATCTCGATCACGTTGGTTTCGCGATTTCCGGAACGCAGCAAGTGCTGCTTCAGCAGCACGAGTAGCAGCATCCGCAACATTTACATGATTATTTTGACCATTTCGTGATAGAAAACTTTGGTGCGCACCACTATTGACTAATACATCAGACCGAGTTGATGATACGGTTTTTTTTAGAGATGGCATATAATTAACTTTTGCACCATGTTTTGTAATATCCTTTACATGTGATTCATCTTTAGTTTGCGACTCTAAGATCTCTGGACCACGTATTATAGAATTATGAGTATTAACTGATGACAAACATGTTGTATTAGTTGTAATAGTATTCGCTGTATTGTTATTTGTGACTGCTGTTTTACCATAATCAGGAATAATTACTGAGTTTTCATTTTTCTCTGATAATAATGTTCCTTTTTTATTAATTTTTAATTTATCATTTTTTTCTACAGTATTTTTAATTTCACCGAGTTTTTGTTTTCCACTTCTCAATTTATTCTTTTTAAATGGAGTTTTTCGGTTTTTGGTCACCACATTTTCTTCTACATTCCGATCAACCGAAGGATATAATTCTTTCTCGTCGCAGACTTTTAATTGTTTTCGCATCAAATACATTTGTTTTTGATAAATGCACGAGTGCCTATCTGACACACCACATGGACAATTTATATACCTTAATTCTCGAAGACGATCCGCGTATTTTTGGACAATCCGATATTGTTTTCTTACAGACAGCAGTATTCGATAGCTTGACCAGTATTTTTGTTTGTCATACAATAATTGGACCGAACTCTTAGTAGAATAAGGCATTAGCTGATTTTCATACTTTTGAATATTATTCCGTAATTGTTCACATTTTTTCTGTAACACTTCCAACGAGCCTAAATTTCGCTTTAACAAATGATGTTGACGATCTTCAACATAAACTTTTTCATCCTTATCCATCTCATCGTCAATGTTTGTTACAGTAGCAGTTTTAGTATGTAGTTGCTGTTGGTATTTTTTTTCTGGCAATTCATGCCATGACCGATCAAAACGTTTACGTATCCGGATTTGTGTCTCTAGAAGTTGTAACTTAAACTGTGCTAACGTTTTACATCGCTGTCGTAACATACGATCCTGAAATTGACGCAATCGTTTTATCAGTCGACGTTCATAACTTTTTAATTTTCGGCCTTTTGCCTTAAGCTCATGCAATAATTTTGCATATTTGTCCCGTATAAGAATTATGGAATCTAATTTTTTTTGTTCTTTTAGTCGTAACCACTGAGCCCACTTTGTTTCGTATGTATTAAATTTAATCGGATAACTTTTCTCACACTGACTTGGTTGTTTAGCTTGTGTTACATGGTTGTATTCTATTGTTTTTTGAATAGCATGTTGTTGTAATATCGATGGAATATCAGTATATGGTGGTGGTCCAAGTAAAATGGCTGCAACTGTAGCACCTGCTACTTCAATTCGCTCTTGTTCTTGAAAAGTTAGAGACGATGATTGTTGTAATTTGTTATCCATCACAAATGGACTACATGGAATTCGATTGGGCCAAAACCAACGAACCAGACTGCCGGATACATTAGGATACCAGTGGTCAATATATCCATGCGCTTGGGGCAAATCTAAGTAAGTGTATAATCGTAAAGGATGTCCAGTTTCAGTAATACCTTGAGCTCGAGCTGACCGTCGTTCCAGTCGCAGTAAGTAATGTGGTAACCAAGCTGCCAAACTAGATATAAACTCATTATGCAATGGCAATCGTTTTCCTAAAACAGCAATCGCTTCTTTAATTTTTATATCTGTATCAGTTTCTTTGATTAAATTATTTATCCATGGAATAGACTTAACATTTGTTATTGGTTGTGTTGTGGAAAATATCTGGGCATTTTTTTCATTTGATGTAGGTATTGATGATGCTGTTCTAATTTTTGAATTTGGAATTAAAGATTCTACCCCAGTTGTGGTTTTAGAGGTTAAAGTTACTAATGAATCAAATGTGTTACCAGAAGTTATTGTTGTTGAATCTGTAACTGTTAAATGTGTATTAGTACCATTGGTAAAAACACTGATATTTTTATCATTATCTTTAACCATCGATCTTAACGCCCACGATACATAAAACACCTTACGCATTTCACGATCATATTCATCTAGAGATAATTCGCCAAGTAACCAGTTTCTTAAAATAGCATCATAATATACTTGGTAATCATGTCCTAGAGCAATGGACAGCTCTTTATATCGTTCTCTAACTAGATGTTCAGCTTCGCGATATAAATGTCGTTGTTTCTTTAAAATATCATTATCTTCATCGTCATCTGACGAAGAAGACAATACCAGATTATCTTCATCAGTTGTAACATTATTGTAACTTGAACAATCTTTAGTCAAAATCCGTAATTGATTCACTGGCTTTTCACAATTTGTCGTTGATTTTTCAGTGTTTTGTTGATCCTCATTATGCTGAACAATTACTAACGACTTACGATTTTCTGACGAATCTTGTGTGGTAAGTAACTCCTGTTGTAACTGATGCTGCTGTGTTTTCTTAAGGTGTTGCTGCAATAATACTTGTTCCCGAAGTTTGTATTCTTCATGTTTCTGCTTAAGTTTATTTTCTTCGATACGTTTTTGTTGCTGATGTCTTTTTTGTTTCAGTTGTTGTTGTAACTTTAAATGGCTATCAAGTTTTTGTCGATCTTCTTGCTGTTTTTTGAACTGCTGTTGTAATTGTTCTGGCTCAAGACGCGCGGATCGTGGAAGTTTTTCAACTATTACAGCATTATGTAATGTTTGTTCTACTTGCTCTTGTTGCTGTTCGGTTTTTTGATTACGTTGCTGTTGTATTGGTTGTTTAGGGAGAAGCAATTGCTGTTGATTATTTTGTTGTACATGTTTTTGGGGAGTTTGGATATGGAATTGTTGTAGCTGTTGATGAGATTGTTTTACGTATAATTGCTGTACCAAGTTTTGATCCGACAATTTTACGTTAGATTTCTGATGTTGTTGTTGGGTAATGACAACATTTTGAGATGATTGTTGAGTCACTTTATGCTGTTGCACATTTTGCAGTTTCTGTTGTTTGGGGTTTGATAATTGTGCCAACTGTTGTTGGAGCAATGTTGATTGAGTTGATTGTTGCTGGGGTAATTTCAATAACTGTTGTTGATTTGCAATAACGACGCGTTGCTGCTGTTGTTTTACTGTTATTGGTCGTTGGACCAATGGTTGCTGTAGCTGGTTTAAAACCATACCACGTTGTGATGGTGATTGAATTTGTTGTGTTTGCTGTGAAGCTTTCAACTGTCCAATTACAAAACGTTGTCCAACCTGTTGAACTTGTGGTTGTTGAATAAATTGTTGATTTTGCTGACCTGATGAATTGGAGTTAACAACAACTAGTTGTGGCTGTTGTTGTTGTTGGCAAGCACCTGAGACAATAACACGCTGTTTCTGCTGTGGCTGTTGTTGAATAGAGCATGGGTTAAGAACGTTTTGAATTTGTTGCGGTAATTGTTGACTGGAACCTGGTATAACTACTTGCTGTAGTTGCTGTATTTGTTGACTAGGACCAGTGAAGATCATACGAGGACCCTGTTGAGGTTGTTGTTGACCAGCTCCTGTAACAACAACACATTGCATTTGTTGTTGACCTGTTGCGTTTGCTGTTTGTACACGTTGTGGTTGCTGTGTAAATTGTTGTTGCTGTGGTTGATTGTTTAAAACAACAATACGTGGTTTCTTGTTCTTAGACATTAACTGCTGTAGCTGTTGTTTTAACATTTGCTGAGTATTTGGAGTTTGTTTTGTTGTTTGTTGTTGAGATGATATATTAGTATACTGATTCTGTTGTTGTACAATTTGTGATTGTTGTATGATCTGAGGTTGTTTTATATGCTGAGATTGTTGTACAAGCTGGGATTTTTGTACTATCTGAGGTTGCTGTATATGGTAAGATTGTTGTATAATTTGCGGCTGTATCAAATGGGATTTTTGTAAAATCTGTGGTTGTTTTATAACCTGAGATTGTTGTATCATTTGAGGTGAAGGTTGAACAATTTGAGGTTCTGGTTGTTGTTGAATAATTTGATGTTGTTGAATAAATTGGTGTTGCTGAAAATTTGATTGTAATTGTTTTTGTTGTAGCGATTGTAACTGCATATGTTGATCTTGTTGTTGTCGCTGTTGCTGTTGCATATATACTTGTTGTTGTTGCTGGATGTTTTGTGGCCGTGGATGTTGTACAAATTGATGATTTTCTCCATCAGTATTGGTATCTTGCGATTGAAAAAGTTCTGGAAGTGCTTGCTCTTGTTTTTTCTGATGGTCTTGAAACATTTGCTGCTTATTCAAGTGTTCTTGCTGCATAACCTGCTTACGACGTAATATCTGTTGTTGGGTTATTAACTGCTGCTGGAATTGCGGTTGTGTTTGTAACTGAGGTTGAAATTGTGATGTTTGTAATAACTGCTGCGGCGGTTGCTGAGATTGTGTCTGTGAGTGTAATAGCTGTTGCTGTTGCTTCAAAAATTGGTGTTGTTGTAATTGTTTTTGTAAAAGAAGTTGCTGTTGCTGCAACAGTTGTTTTTTATCTGGTTGCTGCCTACCAGTATCCATGATGGTGAAGAGATAATCAGTCAAAATAAAAATGACTACCTATATAATAGTCCACCTGAATAAAAACAATAATAAACGCATATTAATTATTATAATTTTATCAAAAATATGTGTTATCTATCTCTTTTTACATTTTATTGTATGATTGTATTTTTATTGTATGATATTTATGATATGTTATTATGTGATGAAAATTTGAATAAAAAGTTAATAGATTTCATAAGAATAAATTTTTTTTTTTAACTTCAAATAGTATTAATAAAAATTACTCTATATGTTTAACCCTTTCAGACCTGAGTTTTTTTTCAATTGAATAAATAGGTTAAAAAAAAAATGTTCACCAATTTTTAGGGGGTTTTAATTATTTTTACCAAGAAAACAAGTAGGGTCACATAAGTGATCCATCGGCTTGTGCGGAATAAAATTTCGTATACAAATGTTGTAGGTACATTATTTTTTTTTTTTAAATATTTATTGAAAAATCGATTATTCTTTTTCGATAACTGCAACTTAAAATGCTTAATTCTAATAAAATAAATAAAAACTTTTTAAATTATTAATAGTAAAAACCAATTTTTAAAACCTTAATATAAAAATAATAAAATTTTGAATTTTGAACCGTATATAACGTGGTATTAAATGTTATATTATTAAAAAAATCGTCTTGAAAATACTGATTAAAATAATCTATTGTTGAAGTCATAGATTTAGGGTGAACTTCATTTTCTAATTCATCTAATTTTAATGTTAAACTTTGGAAAGGTTCATTTAACCATTTTATATTTTGCTTATTAGTAATTGGAAAGTTATTTTCCAGCGTATATTCATTAAAAGTAGTATTATTATTATCAGAGACGTTTGGCAAGTCACAGAAAACATCCTCATTTTCAAATTAATTTAATAAATTCTGAAATTCATCACCGGGAAAAAATTCATCCTCATCATCTATACTCCCAATATCAGAATTATAACCGTCCGATAATAATTCTTAAAAATTACATTCTAGTAATTTATGAGACATTTTTTTTTTTAATATTAATTTTTCATAAAATACAATATAAAAAATTACACTAATTAGTTTGCATAAGGTACCGCTGAGTATAGAAATGCGTTAGTATAACAGCACAATCCGTTTGATAAATGAAATAAATATCAGTGAAAATAAACGTAACATGTCACACAGACCGGTGGGTCACAAATGTGACCCAAAATTCAAACAATCATATCATTCGATATAATGGAAATGTAAGAGTAAAAATGATATTATTAGATTACGTAGCTAATATTCTTCTAGGAAATTATTGTACAACTCGATGTTATTATTATTTTCGTATTTATAAATCAAAAATGAAAATAAAACATGAACAATTATTTCCACATTATTTTTTCTTATAAATATACGGAAATACACTAAAATAAAGTCAATAAGATGATAATTAGATAAGTGAATTCTACGGAATTTTATACATCGTTATGTATACAGAGCGTTTGCTGTACACTAACAATTTATTTTTAATTGAAGAATGAAACATTGGGTCACAAAAGTGACCCGGGGGTCTGAAAGGGTTAAGACTAACTGTATTGAAAATTAAACCATCCTTGTGCTATGAAAACTACAATACAAGAATTTTTAGGGAACTTGTATATGAACATTAATTTTAATTAATACATTAAAAATCAATGCAGTAAGAGGGAGAGGGGAGGTTAAGAGATGTAAATATGTATGAATAATACATTAAAAAGGATAACCAGGATTTAACACTTAAATTTCATTAAAAATGATTTACACCAAAATTAAAAAAATATTACTAAGTAATGATAAACTTAACAGAATAATACTGATGTTTATATTTCTAGTCAGATTTCCAACTTCTTAATATCACGGAACATTATAAAAATGTCATACATTTTTAAAAACTTATTTCCAAGTTTATTTCCTTTACTAACTATAAAACCTCTAACTATAAAAACTAACTATAAAAAAATAATTATAAAAACAGTAAGTCAAGAAAAAAAAACTAGTAAGGTCAAAAATTAATTTAGTAAAAGATTCCAATAGGTAATTAATAATAACTTATTACTCATTTTTATCAGTTAATAAAAATTATTACATTGAAAAATTTCAAATAATTTCAGAACTCACTATTAGTCAGTCAAATTTGGATTTAATCAATACTGAAAAATACTATTTATTTAATTTTCTCAACATATTGTCATGTGACATCAATAAAAAGTTGTAAAAAGAATAAATATTATCGTACTTTTTTCACTACATTTTTTTTAAATAATTTTTCAGTGGGCCACTTATATATGATTTTTCAACAAAATGTATTGAACCTTTACTTTCAATATTATTTCTTCAAAAATTGGTATATGTTAAGAACAAAATTATAGGGGGTACCAATATTAGACTAACTAAAAAATAATTAATGACAATTACAGAAAGTAAAACAGTCATTTTTTATTTAGTGTTTTATGTTTGAGTTAAACATTTTAACAATGATGTATCTATGTTAATTTCATGAAAAAATTTCATTTTTGATGTGTGCAAATAGTTTAGATTTAAATACTATAACATTTTAATTTAAATTTTTTCATTACAAAACACACTACAATTTGTACTATTTTATATATATATATAGATATATAAATATAATAGACTATATAATGTTTATTATATATGTTAATCAATAACCATAAATCATAAAAATTGCTGGTATAGCTATTATATATAAATAATATAATATAGAGATATGTAATATCACTAATATTTCATCCTATTATTTCCATTTAAATATTGTAGTATGTATTTTCCTTTAGAAAACAATAATTTAAGACCCACTGTCTTATAGATTTGTTTAAACCATAATATTTTATATTACTTGAAAGTTCTGAGAATGTATATCAATAGGGCTAGTGACTTTATGCCCTTAAAAAACTTAAAATATCCATACATTAATGCCCTAAAGAATCAATAAATATGCTATTAAAATATGCATTAAAAAAAAAAATTCCATTTGTAATAGGGTCAGTGTACCAGTTCTGGCCACTGTACCAATTCTGGCCAATTGCAATAATGTGTTGATTTATTAAGCGTATATTGAATATCTTTAAACCAGAGTGAGCTACATTGTATGTTTTTGTATAATTTTATTTTATTTTTCCATGAATTAATGATAACACCTTCTTAACTATTTAACAATATTTTTTTTCAGTATCAGATTTTATAAAATCTTATATTTTTGATAAGAAAATCACAAAATATAAATATAGATTTTCGTTTTTTATTTTTAACTAATTTTAAGAAAAGTGTTTCCACATAGTAAACATAGACTGAAGATTTATGTTACACCTTACATTAAGTAAATTAGCAACATTAACACAGTTTTCAGTACAATTGCCAATCAGGTACATCATCAATTTATTAATATTCCCAGTTGTGGGCCACTCGGTGGCAACAAATGGTGATTATCAAATGTACCAGTTTTGAACATTTTTATTTTATTTCTAGTATAAATTGTATTTTTAATAAAAAAAAAAAACTATGGGCAAAAACAAAAATTCTTTACAAAGTCAAGGTGTAAGAAGAAAGTTGTTTCCAATATTCTCCTACAAAAATTCAACTGGCATTAAATGCTGTTAAAGATGGTTCTTTAAATGTACTTCAGGCCAGCAAAATGTACAAAGATCCTAGATCTACTCTGCGCAATAAATTGAGTGGAAAATCTCCAGATAGTGTCCATCAAGTAGGCCTTAAAGCAGTATTAGTTAAAGAAACTGAGGCAAAACTGGTAAATTGGATTCTTACCGTCGCTAAAATGGGGTTTCCAATCAATAAATTAATGTTGTTGGATACCGTTGAAAAAATTGTGACTTCAACAAAAGACAGCATAAGTACCCCTTTTATAGATGGTAGACCAGGCAGAAAATGGTTTGAAGGTTTCATGCGCCAACACAGTGAAATTAGTCAAAAGCAATCTGAGTATATTAATAAAGCGCGAGGCCAAATCACTGAAGCTAAAATTAGAGGTTGGTTTAAAGAGACTGAAGATTTATTAGGTCCAAACTCAGAAATATTAAAAGATCCAACAAGAGTTTTCAATTTAGATGAAACATAATTTTATCTGTACCCAAAAGGATATTTGGTGTTGGCAGAAAAAAGTACCCATGTGTATGACACATCAGCCAAATCAGATAAGGAGAACATTACAACATTATTCACTATTAGTGCTGCTGGTGTTACTGCCCCACCATTAACAATATACAAATATAAGAGGATGAATCAAGAAATAGCCAATTCTGCTCCAAACTATTGGGGTCTTGGAAAAACAGACAGTGGATGGATGACGGGAGAACCATTCTATCTATGAATATTTCAGTAACGTATTTCACCCTTATTTAATAAAATATAATGTAAAATTTCCGGTTATTATGTCTTTAGATTTACATGCATCACATTTAACCATACATTTGGGTGAATTTTGCAAAAATAATATAATTATACTAATATGTTTATTTCCTAATACAATTCATATTTTGCAGCCCTTGGATGTAGCAGTTTTTGCTCCATTAAAATCCAAATGGAAAAGCACTATACGTCAATGGCGATTAGATCATGATATGGTAGGGAAATAAGCAAACATAATATTCCTTCACTGCTGCATAATATTCTTACTAGTGGTAATTTTCAACAGTCAATTAAGTCAGGTTTTCGGGTTTGTGGTCTTTACCCTTGGAACCCTGATGCAGTACACTATAGAAAATGTACCCTAAAAGATATTCCAACTGTTATAACACCTCCATCTGCTTTATTAACACATTTAGAGTACTTGGAAAAAATAATACCTCCTAACAGACTTACTGAATTTAAAGACATACTAAAGAGGAACACTGATTGGGAAGGGGATATTTCTGCATCAGAACTATATGATATTTGGGTAAAATATTATTAAGATCAATCAGAAGTTGGTCAAAACATATCTCTTTCTGCAAATAATTCTGCGATAAGTCCACTTCAACATGTACCTGTAGCACCAAACATATCTAATCAAGAAC